TTATGCTACTACCAGAAAGATGGCAAAAGGTGTTGGACCAGAACGGTCAATATATAATTTAATAAAGTATTTGTTTATTATACGAAAACTGTCTTTCACTTCCACAAAAAAAAAACGAAATGACTTTCCGAACAACCCAATATATAATATTAAGAAGTTTCGTAAATTAAACACTTCGGTTTTCATGTTCATTAATTCGTTCATTGAGAGCCGGCCTGGTTTGGCCAACAACGAATAGAGGAACATCAAAAATCTAATTCTAACTGATTGTAGTTGATTAATAAGTGTCAAGTTGGTGGACAACTAAATATCATTTTTATTTTAATTATTCTTATTAAATGAAGTAAAATTAGTTGAATTTTTCTGAAAAATATTTCTTCAACTTGTCTCGGAATAGTTACTTTTTAATAAAATGATTTTGTTCCTAGTAAAGTGTTTTTAAACAATAAATTGGTCATTGGTCGTATCCTGATTTTCGTTGAAATGGTTTTAGTTAAAAGCTTAAAACAACAACAACAATCACAAATGTTATAAATCGCAAACATGGCGGCAATCTTGAAGTTTTGTTCGCAAAGCTGCCAATGATGGCGGCAATCTTGCAGTTTTGTTCGCAAAGCTGCCAATCGATTAATTTAAAAAAGTAACCGCAAAATCTCAATTAATTTTAACGGTGCAACATATTTTGTTATGTATCAAATAAAGTTATGTTACCTGGTGAAATGGAATTTGACTTGTTTCGGAATTTTTCCACATAGAAGAACCTTTTCAGTTTGAGGTATGGCATCGGGATAAACTAAAGTTATGTCATAAACAGCGTCCAAATTGTTCCTGGAAAGTAATTCCTCGGCAATGAAAGCAAATCCGGTTGTCCTAGGATGTAAAACGTAACTGTATTTCTGAAAAAAATAAAAGGGAATGTTTTCATCTTATTTTTGAATAAGTCACATGACTACAATAAGTTTTTGTACATGTTGGATTCACTTAATCCCTTAATATGGTTATTTATTTGTAAAATAATTACCTGTAAATTATTTTTTTCGGCAAATTTAGTGCTTGCTTCAATTGTTTCTGGAGTCAAATCCGTCCCTTCCGGGAAAACAAGTAGGCTAAATTTGTACGACATTTCACAGAAGTAGGTTAAAATTTTCTCCAACTTGCTCTTGTCAAACATCCAAGACCGTTTAACATACAGGAAGCAGGAAAGTTGCATTACCCAACCTGGAATCCAAATTAGACGATACATTTAGAATTTGTGATATTTCAAATGTATTCTACAGGTTTTCTTTGTGACATTTTTGGGTACTTCTCCTAACAGAATAAGCTCATGTATCTACAGGGTGGCTAATGAAACATTATTGTTGTTGTTTATTGGGTGCCATTAAATGGCCCCATTATCTTTATATTTCATTGTAACGACAGATAAAAATTTAAGGTTAATAAACTGTTTTAGATGTTCCTTATATGCTTTTGATGAAATTAATGTTTATAGCAAGGAGGAGTTTGAGATCGCCTTAAATAAAATGGAAGCGACGATATTAACAAAACAGTATTGTATGAAAATAATTAATAGTAAAACAAAAATACTGGTTTGCAAGGAAAGAACAATTAAAAGAAGTGGCTGATTTTCGGTATCTAGGAAGTCAGATAACTCAGGATGGAAGGAGCTGTAGAGATATAATACAGAGGACAGTGTAGAGTTGTGTTTTATAAAAAGAAATCACTTCTATTCTTACGAACGGTTAATTTTGAAATTTGAAAAAGATTGTTATATAACGTGGACAGTGGGCGCGGCGGAAAAAAGGCTAAAAGCGTTCGAAATGTGGTGTTATAGGCAAATGATGACGATACCGAGGATGGAGAAGGTTAGAAATGAGGAGATATTAGAAACAATGGAAGAACTATGGAAATAAATAAGAAACTGGTGATATAGGTTGGTAGGATACATTCTCAGGCACGAAGGGCTAGTTAGAGACATACTGGAAGCAGAAAAAGGAGCTAAGAGGGGTGGATGTAGTCCTAGATTAGATTACTATTCACAAATAGTTAAGGATGTGGGTTGGGGAAATGAGAAGATTAGCTCAGGATAGGAAAAAGTGGAGGTGTCCAACCAGTCTTAGGGCTGACGACCAAATGATGATGATGATGCATTGTTTGCCATTTTACCTAACGGTTTCGTTATATATCTGCAGGATGGCCTACGAATCAAGTTATTCATTCATCATCATCATAAGGTCTTTAGCCCTAAGACTGGTTGGACACGCACATCCACTCTTTCCTATCCTGACCTAATCTTCTCATTTCCCTGAAACTAGAACAACCCACATCCTTAACTGCTTCTAACATGTCTCTGACTAGACCTTCATGCCTGAGAAGGTTGGTAGGACACCTTTATAGCCTATTTATTATTGACTTCCACGGAGTCCTCTGTTCTCCTATTCTTTCTAATACCTCTTCATTTCTAACTTTCTCTATTGACGGTATCCTCATCATTCCCCTGTAACACCACAACAGCCGCGCTCCAAAAACATATACCTTTAATAATATTTTTCGAATTTCTAAATTAACCGTTTGCGAGCATAGAAGCGACTTCTTTTTATTGAAGGCGACTCAACCCTACGCTACCCTCTGCTTTATATCCCTACTACTCCTTCCGTCCTAACTTATATGACCTCCTAGATACCTTAAATCAGCCACTTCTTCTAATTTTGTATCTCCTATCTTTATATTCGGTCTTTCCCTACTTTTCCTTCATTGGACGCCATTAAATGATATCGTTTTTCTCTTTGTTTGTATGTTATATCAAAAGTGTGTACCTGGTCCCGGTATGTGGCGAATCATGTCCTTGAGGACGAACTTTAGAGAGTGCCTATACCTCGTCGATCCCTTGGTACAATGGTAAAATGCTGGCCAGAGAAAATTCCAATCGGTCCTGGTGCGGTGATTCATAACGAGGATTGAAGATTCTCCAGCTAACACCGGATCGCCAAATATTTGAATTTCGCAATTGCACCATAATTCCACCAAAGCCTTGATAATCACGCAAATAAAAAAATCAGTCAGGCGACTCGCCTACCGAGATTAACGTATTAATCAAACATACTTTTAATTAAATAACGTATAATTCAATTAAAGTAATTTTGCATAGAGTTTTGTATTGCAGCCGACTACGACTACCGCAATATCAAATTCAAAATATCGTCTTGTTATCGAAAACTAATAGTAATTTGAATCTCGTATTGTTCTTGTACTATCCTCCTGTTCGTGATCTTGACATTACATTGATTAATTTTTAATCTTGACCTAAGACTTTGATCTCGTCTGGCTAAATCTGTCTTGTCAAGATTACTTTTCCGACTTGTTTATTTTGATCTCATTTATATATTGTGAACACCTGGTTTATGATATCGCCTTAGTTTTCATGACATGACAACACAACGTTGATATTTTTTTGACTCCTAGGAAATATTCTATCAACTAAGATTGAAATTGCGACTTCCATCTCATATTTTTGATAAATACTGCCTAGAGATGTATCGGATAGTGACTTTGTCGCATTAACTATGCCGAGAGTATCGAGCAAAACCACTACGGTTAATGGTTCATGGTTTCGTTTTGGCTGACCTTCCACTAAATACCACTCTCACCAATGGTCTAAACAACAATATATCTCGTTCAAAAAGTCGTTTAGACATTAAACCAATGAAATTTTAATTCTTGGTTGACGGATTTTCAACAAGACGGTTGAATTTAAACGGTTGAAACGAGATTATAATGTTTATAAACCTTAAAAGTCCCAATTCAATCTTAATTACAAATTTTCACTTAGGTAGGTTGTTTCGTTATAGATTAAATTTTATTATTGCTGGTGTTTTTTTTTGTTTTACTGGTAGAATTACCCAACACTGCCTGGTACCCGGCGCCATTACCCGCTTTCCGGGCGGACCCTAAAAAAAGTGCCAAATCTACCGCATCCAAGCCCATCTCTAATATAAACTGCATTGTGTTTGGCAAGTAAATATCAAATATCTAGATCTGACAATATGCTGTTAGTTTCTTAATATCAACTAATAAGCATTTGTCTCAACTTTAGTACACATTTTACTTTAAAATAATGGTATAATACGATTAAGTTTAAACCATATTGTTCCAATGTAGTCACCCAAAGTATAAAACCGTGAATAAATGTGAATAATATCTTTGAGGAACATTTACAAGCTAGCTTCTTACAAAGGCGTCATTTGTTATTATTTAAACATTACATACGTAATAGTTTTGACCATGACATAGAAAATAAAACATGNGCATTAACTATGCCGAGAGTATCGAGCAAAACCACTACGGTTAATGGTTCATGGTTTCGTTTTGGCTGACCTTCCACTAAATACCACTCTCACCAATGGTCTAAACAACAATATATCTCGTTCAAAAAGTCGTTTAGACATTAAACCAATGAAATTTTAATTCTTGGTTGACGGATTTTCAACAAGACGGTTGAATTTAAACGGTTGAAACGAGATTATAATGTTTATAAACCTTAAAAGTCCCAATTCAATCTTAATTACAAATTTTCACTTAGGTAGGTTGTTTCGTTATAGATTAAATTTTATTATTGCTGGTGTTTTTTTTTGTTTTACTGGTAGAATTACCCAACACTGCCTGGTACCCGGCGCCATTACCCGCTTTCCGGGCGGACCCTAAAAAAAGTGCCAAATCTACCGCATCCAAGCCCATCTCTAATATAAACTGCATTGTGTTTGGCAAGTAAATATCAAATATCTAGATCTGACAATATGCTGTTAGTTTCTTAATATCAACTAATAAGCATTTGTCTTAACTTTACTACACATTTTACTTTAAAATAATTGTATAATTTGATTAAGTTTAAACCATATTGTTCCAATGTAGTCACCCAAAGTATAAAACCGTGAATAAATGTGAATAATATCTTTGAGGAACATTTACAAGCTAGCTTCTTACAAAGGCGTCATTTGTTATTATTTAAACATTACATACGTAATAGTTTTGACCATGACATAGAAAATAAAACATGGGAACATAAATTATTTTATAGTTAATAAATAATTTTAAGTGGATCTTTTACAGAGTTCCGAAAGAAATTTATTAGGCAAGTTGGTTTGTTAAAAGTATTATTTCATTCAAATAAAACAATTTTAAGAAGGTAATGGCTAAATAGACCGATTTTGTCAGGTGAGGCATCTACCTGTGACACGGTACAAATGACGTTACAATATGGTGGACGAAAGCCACCATATTGTGAAATATTATGTGAAATCAAAATACCTAAGTGTCTTTAATTTAAAAGAAAGTAGTCGTTAATGAGCTTTAGGTGGCGTAGCGTGGATTAATATAGACGTGGGCCAATAGATCTATCCTACCAAACATGCTTTGACACTGTGGGAGAATGTTGAAGAGCATATAGATTCGAAAAATGGTTTTATTTTGTAACTTGCGTTATTTAATTTTTTACAAAAGTAATGTTCTTCGGCTTTTTGCTTTACTGAAGTCTTCTAGTAAAGATTTGTATATTCCATCAATCTAACAGTCGTGTTCTTTGTAACAAGCACGCTTTTAAACAAATTTAAAGGTTAAGTAAATTACATAAACGACTTTAAATTTGTGATGTTCTTTTTCGAACGTAAAACTGATAACGTATTAATCAAACATACTTTTAATTAAATAACGTATAATTCAATTACAGTAATTTTGCATTAATTATTCTTATTAAATGAAGTAAAATTAGTTGAATTTTTCTGAAAAATATTTCTTCAACTTGTCTCGGAATAGTTACTTTTTAATAAAATGATTTTGTTCCTAGTAAAGTGTTTTTAAACAATAAATTGGTCATTGGTCGTATCCTGATTTTCGTTGAAATGGTTTTAGTTAAAAGCTTAAAACAACAACAACAATCACAAATGTTATAAATCGCAAACATGGCGGCAATCTTGAAGTTTTGTTCGCAAAGCTGCCAATGATGGCGGCAATCTTGCAGTTTTGTTCGCAAAGCTGCCAATCGATTAATTTAAAAAAGTAACCGCAAAATCTCAATTAATTTTAACGGTGCAACATATTTTGTTATGTATCAAATAAAGTTATGTTACCTGGTGAAATGGAATTTGACTTGTTTCGGAATTTTTCCACATAGAAGAACCTTTTCAGTTTGAGGTATGGCATCGGGATAAACTAAAGTTATGTCATAAACAGCGTCCAAATTGTTCCTGGAAAGTAATTCCTCGGCNATAAAGTGAAAACTATTTCTATTACAACGTGTTATACCTAAAGCATTTGAAAAATAATTTACTTTAAAAAATAGGGAATAAAAATAAATTTACCTGCAACGATGCTTGAGTACCACAATAAGCCATAAACTAAACCCTTGAGATTCTTCATGAGAATTTACATTTTCGCTGTGTAACAAACGGAAATAAGCGTCTAAATCGTCGGTTTTTCGTATAAGTCGATCATCCCTCCACTCTCACTGATGTTACTCAGCAGAGGTGACGATAAATCCGACTCATTCCAGAAAAATCGCACCTGGAACTTAGCTTCATGATCAGCGGTACATAGCTTCAGTGGCGGTCACTAGCTTTATGTGAAGATTCAGCCTCGCAAGCCAGTATTAATCCCGATTGGGGTGGAGAAGGGATACGGGAGATGACGATATTGATTTTCTGTCGGCGGCAGCATCCATGGATACGTGGACCAGGCAGCAAGAGCTGCAGGATGGGGCGGAAAATAAAAGAACTGCTAATAATAACGGAACAGGATAATGCCCATACATTCGTACATGTATTTGTTCAATGGTACCTTTAGAATACGTAGTTTAAGTCCCTGTGGGGAGTTGTACCTACCCAATACGACAAACAGTAAAATCCTTTTATCCTGCTGTGTTTGTCCGTTAAAAAGACTGCCCCCTTTCGCCTTTTTATATTTGACCCCTTTTCAAAAAATATTATTATTATGCAATGTACTCGCCGACCAGAATAACTCGTTTGCATTCAGCGATGGTATTTTGTTTTTTTAATATGACGCAACTGCGAATTGTATTTGAGCAATTTTTCTTGGTCATTCAAGGGTTGGTTTTGTGTTCACTATTCTACAGTATATCAACTTTAAAACGAAAAAATATAACGTGTAATTATACAACACGCTGCTGAAGTGAAACTTCTTCAAACATACCGGGATAGAGGTTTAAGGAATTGGTTTAATGGTATTATTTGTACCCTATGCTTCGCACGGGTACAATGCTGATAGTAAATATACTATAGAATGTCTTTAGGTACAACAATCAGAGCTTTTTTGTCATTAGATAATACAAACCGGCCGGTACCGCCGCAACCGCTATGTCCCTGCATTTTAAGTCTGTAATATCTTCGAAAATATTCATTTAAATTACATGCTGTAAAGGGCCATATTGATCTATATTAAATGCACAGTGTATTTAAAAGTACTTAATTGGATAAGGATTAATGCTGTATTGCTTAAAATAGCTTCGTAAATAAGCCATTATTTCTCGTAAAAAGTAAAGGATAAAAAATGGTAATTGTGGGTTATCCCTAAGAAATAGACATATACCATCGCAGACTTTTTTGTAGACCTTTTTAAGGTGTACAATACTGTAGTATATTATTTTGATCTATATCGTAGGATTCAGCCAGCGTTTGCAATGTAAGCGCAAAAAAATGTGTTTATTTACGACATCACATTACAAACCTCTAAAATTATCAGTGTTTCTCCATTACATTATGCATGTATTATAGATGTAAACCTTCTTCTTGAATTTCTCTATCTATTAAAAAAAACCGCATCAAAATCCGTTGGGTAGTTTTAAAGATCTAAGCACACATAGGGTCAGACAGCGGGGGAAATGCGTTGCATGATTTCGTTACATAGCAACTCGCATGAAACGAACTTACCCTACCGTGCGTAAAGAAGTTCCACTTCAAAAAGTTATTGCGTAGATGTCTTTTTTCCTAGTTTGAAACTTTGAATTCGATTTTGATAGAATATACATACATACATATACATGTAGTAATATTAGTTCAATATTATTCTAGATACAGTGACTGAAGAATCCATCGTTTGGCGAAATACTAAATGTCACTGTATTTACCTAATATTTAATAAATAAGTTTGTGCAATTTACTGTAAATTATGTGCTTAAAATTGTAAGGTTAATACTCGGTTACTAAATTAATTAGAAGTCATATAAATAATAAGATATCGTTCAGATTCGATAGCGAGTAGAAGTGTGTTAAGGGGATGAAGCGGGTGTAGAATTCCAGGACATTTTTTCTAAGTTCCACAACTATATTACAAGCTAGACGAATATGGTTATTAATGACTTTACGTATTTGATAACTATAATTAAATTATCGTGCAAATTGCTTAAATTATTTACATTTTAAACTAGAAATTAAATTCGCTTCCTGCTTTACAATATATCGAGTACCAGAAAAGCATATGGAGTTTATGAAACTCTTTCCATATCTGGATCTATATGGCAGTGTTATTCTATTGTACAGAATATTCTACAAAGATTGAATAACGATAAAGTTTTAAAATGTTATGAGAAAATTTAAAAAAGACACTTTCCTGGCGCCTGCACCAAAAATTATAAGTAGCAAGACGTTACATTGTTAGTTTCAATAACTTAACAATATGCATTATTTTTGATCAACAACAATAACACTCAAGAGTAACTTACACTATAAACAATACTGCCGAATTGTGGAAGTAAAAACTGGTGAAGCAGGGTTGTGTTTATTTACTCATCTGTAACCCCATAGATAGTAGATAAAATCTATTAAACATCATCTAGTAATTCACTAATCAATCCTTTGAGCGAAACTTTTTCCATTGTGTCCTACCTATTTATTTTATCTAAATATATCTAAGTACATAAATAACATAATTATGGATGTTTCACGAAAGTTACACCACTAATGGTTCAAATTATAAGAAGTTCCTCTTTTCATTGTTAATTAATGTGGGTAGCTACTCGAAAAATCGAACAACTTAGGTCCATTATGTATTACATATTAGCGAACAGTAATCTAGTTTCTGGTAGTCTAGGACTATTTTTATCTCTTTTATCTCCTGCTATTTCCGCCTATACTCTAAATTCTCCTTTTAGCGAAAAAAATAGTACAAGCTATTTGAAAGAAGCAAAAAATATCGAAAAAAAAAATTAGTTTGGTTCTCTACATTTCAACCATGTGTTATCTACATATCATCATCATAAGGTCGTCAGTCCTAAGACTGGTTGGACACGCACCTCTACTCCTTCCTATCCTGAGGTAATCTTCCCATTTTCCTGAAACTAGAACAACCCACATCCTTAACTATTTGCGAACAGTAATTTAATCTAGATCTACCTCTACCCCTCTAACTCCCGTCTCTGCCTTCAATATGTCTCTGACTAGACCTTCATGCCTGAGAAGGTGTCCTACCAACCTATCTCGCCTATTTCTNAAACTTCCCATTTTCCTGAAACTAGAACAACCCACATCCTTAACTATTTGCGAACAGTAATTTAATCTAGATCTATCTCTACCCCTCTAACTCCCGTCTCTGCCTTCAATATGTCTCTGACTAGACCTTCATGCCTGAGAAGGTGTCCTACCAACCTATCTCGCCTATTTCTTATTGACTTCCATAGAGCCCTGTGTTCTCCTATTCTTTCTAATACCTCTTCGTTTCTAATCATCTCTGTCTACGGTATCCTCATCATTCGGTTGCAACACCACATTTCGAACGCTTCTAACCTTTTCTTTTTCGCCGCGCCCACCGTCCATGTTTCGCACCCGTACAGCACCGCGATCCAAACATCTTTACAGTTTTAACAATATTTTTAGTATTTCTACAGTAATCATTCGCGAGCATAGAAGCGACTTCTTTTCTATCCTCTGCTTTATATCCCTACTACTCCTTCCGTCCTAACTTATCTGACTTCCTCATATAGAACAAAAAAGACTTACTTCGAGGACATTCTTGTAAATTCCATTTTTCCAAACAGTGGTAATGTTCTTTTCTTTATATATTTGGTGTTACAAACTACTAAAAATATTTCGTCCCAAGAAAAGAATTAAAGTTTATGAAGATTTCGTTTCTTTCAAGAAAACAAGAAAAAACCTTTGTTCTCCTAACCTCATTTCTAACCTTATCAACTGTATTTTTTTACACTCCTGTGTAACACCACACGTTTTGTGGGACCTTTTTTTTTTTGTTAAAAGCAATTAGACTCTCGATATACTTTGTTTTATATTTCCAACGCTTTTTACATTCTGGTTGAGCTTTACGTTGAAAATTAAATTCGTTGTTCATCAATTCCAGAGTTCTCTCGTTTGACGGCCTGTAGGTAAGTGAATTTTCCGGAGGGCTGAAAGCGCAGTTTGTAGAGAGAAATGCCACTGGGGAAGTTGCATACATTCGGGATGCAAGACGTGCGAGCTGTATATTTTTAGCTACTATTGATTTCCAGGCCAGCTTCCACTTTGAAATGGACCAGTCTGATGTCGTTATTAAAGCTCTTGTTTGCGATCGTGATTTGTTATAATTATTAATTGATTAATTTCGACGTGCTTCATTTGTTTCACAATTGCAGAAATTCACCAAAATTATAAACTAGTCAATAGTGGCTGCTAATCTAAATATATGAAAGGTTACACCTTATTTTCATACAATTTGTCCCCCATTATTTACGAACAACAAAATAAAGTCTCTATAATCAAATTGAAACGATCGAACGTTATCGTTCGTTATATAGAATGAAATGAAAAACAAAAACAAAATAGATTTACAATTGAGATTTTTAATGCTTCACACTGAAACAAAGTAATCTATAAAAACTTTAAATTTAAGAAAACACTAACACATCTAATTTTACAAAAGAATTTATTAAAAATTTTGACAATAGTTTTGACGATTAAACCATTAAACTCTTTGAATTCTTTTGTGAAACTACAATACCAGGGGCGTACGTAGGACTTTTGTTTTTTTTGTATATAAACTGTACCTAAATTTATTCTTCATAAAATGTGTGTAGATATTGTGTATAAAATTGTTAACACACATCAGTGTGTTATAATTAAAATTAACCATTTTTTTTTATTCACAATTTGGTCGAAATGTCTCTCCTTTGTTTCCTATCGTCCAAAAAGGTATAGTTACCCTTACGTAAACTATATTTCTTATAAAATTACCATTCCTTACTGTCGCTATCCTCTACATATTTCTAAAAATAAATTTTACTACTTATTATAGTAACTTTCTTATTTTTAAGTAGATCCTTCACTAGCACTTGTTTCTATTAGAGTGTTACCACTTCTTGTTTAGGGTATTCGTTTAATTTCCCTAGATACGTGCCTGTACAATACCAAGTGTTTTCTTAAATTTGGTGAGTTTTTTTATAATCCGAACATTTTTCACCAAGCGCCAAACAACTCATCTATCAATATTAAAGTAATCAGTAATGGTAATTGTTAAACCATTTAGGATAACTAAGTTTGTGACCTGCAGATTTAAAAATTTGCTTCGATTCCGGTGGTGGTATATTCTATCTCATTTGGGCAGATACTTACAATTAATGATAACGTTCGCCAAGTTAATAAATATCTAAGAAATATATAATTTCAAACAATAAAACGTATTTAAATTCATCCGTATCTAAGGACACAATAGGTAAGTAAGAAAAGGGAAAGCGAAGTTATTACGTAAAATCTTTGGAAAATTTTTATTCCTAAAATTAAATCTTTAAATTGCCAGACGCTGGTTACATAAAAGTAATTCAATTATTTTTTTGATTGTTTATGTGACATCAACAGGATAAGTTATTAAGAGAATTTAATTAGACTTCGTTTCGTATTTCTTTTATTCATGTCAATTTAAGAAATTCGATAACACCGGACAGGGTATAAAAACAAATGTACCTACAATATTTACTTGGACTGAAGAAGACCTCAACCAAACGTGAAACGTTGCTGGGAGTTAGCAATATTACTTTAATTGTAATTATAAAACAGATTAATTGATATTGGTTAAAATGTTAGGGGTTTCTACTACATTTAAAAGTCAGTTTTTGAACTAAAACCTTTTTCTCTATTAAAGAATCTTAGTTATAAAATTGACCCCAACAGGGTGCCTATATTTATATTGTCATGTTGGTATAACTATATCAACAAACAAAAAGTGTCACATCTGTGTTCGCTGATAATATAACTGTAGTACACGTTGAATTCAGCTAGATGTCAGGATAAATAATATAATATAATTACTCGATAGCTTTAAATCTGAGATAATGTAATGTTAGTAAAACTGTGTTTTAAACATAGATTAAATAAGCTGTTAGTCTGTTGAAGAAAACAGTAAACAGTACAATACTTACATGTATTAATTGAAACCAAACAAAATTAGAAGGATTATTGGTAAATACTTTATGAACATTATATCCATCCCGATTACCATTAGATACCTTTCTTTTGAGTATTTAAAATGTTACGTATACAAATACGTATTATAAATAAACAATTGCTGAACTTGTTTTAAACGTACTTCATTTAGCAAATAACTAAATTCACTGCCAAGTGCAAACCTGGTTTATACTTTCAGGGCAAATTTAAAGGGTTTCTGTGATAATCCTTTAATCTAATTATCAGCAAGGGTGAAATGGCTTCATATTCTACTGCAGGTACGTATTAGGTATAAAAATATGGAATTTACCTATCCTAATAAGCTTTTTACAATTTTACTTTCTAGAATTTACTGGTTTTTAGAAATCCCAGACAAAAGAAAAATTTGCAAGCTTTTCTTTAATTCAATTAAATTACATTATACAGATTATGTATTTTTTTTTAACTCACGATAAGTAACGACTTGTGGATCTGGTCAGATTGAGTGTATTTCTAATGTTATTTTATTTGTAAAGAAATCTCGTTACGTACAAAAAAAATACAATTTTTTCTACAACAAAGAGTTCCAAATATAATTATTACATTAACTTTAATAACTTACCATCCGATATTAATTCCTTGAATCAACAAAATCCGGGATTGTGAAAGGCGAAAACAATAGGATAATAGGCATCCCCAACGTCTCAACACTTTAGAGTTTTGAATACTTCCAATCCCACAACATTATTACGTGAAGTAAAAGCTCAAAACAATCAAAAGAACTAGATAGTCATTTTCGACATGAATTTTGTTCTTTAATTGGATTCTAGCCTAAGATATGTCCGAACATATCAAACTTTTGACATAACTTTAAAATTTGTTTGGTTTTGAGATTAGAATTTCTCGATATTTCAATTTATATCTCAAACGTTTCACACTAATACAGAGTTAAAAAAAAAGACGTGTAGAAAATTATTCTCTAGTCATAGTGGCGTCATCTCTTGGTTAGGCCGGAAACTTATCAATCCACCCTCGTATTTCTTCGTGAATTTAATTAATAACAACTAATATATTATGTTATGCTGTTTTATAATTTAGTAATGATAAATTGTATAGTTACTTGTATATCTATAAGTTATGTATTCTATTGTGACTAAATTCTGTAGTTATATAAAAGCCAGTATCTAAACATTATTTTAAATAACTTAATTCTTTATTATTTTCTGTACCTCACTTAATAAAATATTAAGTTACAATGAAGTTTCACAAAGTATCAATGACCTCTATCAGTTATATTATTTTATATATAAAAAATTATAATTAAAA